GGTTGAAGGCAGTGCCGTCAGGACCCTCTTGCAGGGGCCACCTCCCAAGGGCCAGGGGAAGTCCAGTGTCCACTCAGCTGCCCAGAAGAGGGGAGTGAGTGCCAGCCCCAGTCCGCCTGCCAGGTTGAAGACCAAAGTGTCAGACGGTGGGCAAGGGGCTCGCCGAGCACAGTTACCCAGCACCCACAGCATGGTCAAGCTTCCCATAAACCCAGTGGAACCCACAAGCCCAAAGGCCAGGGCACCCACAGCCCTCGGGGCTGGGAATCCGACAGGCATCGCACACCGCCGGCAGAGACATTGAGCCAGAAAACGGGCAGAGGGGCAGAGATATTGGGTGTGGGCGTCTCAGGGCATCAGAAGCCACAGTGCTGGGCAGCGGAGGCAGCCAGCTTAGTGCCAGGCTGGCAGGGCCTCTCAGCAGGAGGCTCCAGACCCCAGGGGGCAGTGTGGATGGGACAACCCAACTGTCCCTGTTGGTCATGATTGGTGGTGGGTGGGGCAGGATCAGAGAAGGCTGGACAGTGGGGTGTGTGTGTGTGTGTGTGTGTGTGTGTGTGTGTGTGTGTGTATGAAGGGCTCTGTGCTGTAGAGAGGAAAGGGGAATTACTCCACCATGAAAATCAGACCGGATCCTCCACCCCAGGGAGAGAACCAGAGATATCCCACCTCAGGGATGGCAGGAACCGAACTGCAGACCCTCTTCCTGCCAGTGTGCAGGGACCCCCTTCTCTGCAGAAAGTACTTCCTTAGAGGCTGGAGGAAGGGACCTGGAGGGCCATATGGCAGGAAATCAGAATGCGCGTCGTCGACTCAGGTCTGAGAGGGGCGGGGGGGAGAAAGGAGCGCAGAGGTTCTGGAGTCTCAGATCTGCTACGCACTCGCTGTGTGACATTGGTAAGTTACTTTACTCCCCTGAGCCTCAGTTTCCTTGCTTAAAATGTTCAGATAAAAGTCTCTGCTTCAGAAGATTGGCGTGATGAAATGAGATAATACATGTAAAAACAAAGCATGTTGTGCATTGCTAGTTGCACTAACAATGATTACTTTAAAGGAAACGTTCGGGGTGTTTGTGGCACAAGGGAGCAGGATACCGAGCAGTTACCACCAAGCGCAGGGAACAGCGCCAACTAAAACACCGTGTAATTTACTGCAGCAGCAAGCGACCTTGAGGCTAAGGGCAGGGAGGGAGAGGAGAAGGCACAGCTTCCTGTCTCCTCCCTGCTGGGAGCACAGCCCGAAAGGACCTGAGTGGACGTAACCCTCAGCCTGTTCCTGCTGCTGAGGATAAAGTAACCTCCCTGCTGACCGCCCTCCCTCCCTGCCTCTGCCCCTTTCCTGTTCTAGCCTGCGGAGCCGGAAGGCGACAGCATCCCCCACGCTTCTCCAACCCCCAGTGCTATTCCAGAGATGGGCCCCGAGACACACCCTCACCACACCTCATCCTGTCTCCCCGTGATCTCAGTCCCAACCGGAAAAAAGGCTTCCCTGGGCCTCCCATGTTGTGCCCATATCCCTACCCTTTGCACAACTTGCTGTGATGGGAGAACAGAGGTGGGAGGTGGGTAGCTAGAAGAGTGAGGCTTTTAAAGGATTCCAAAATAGTCAACACCTTCCTGTCCGCTGCCAACTAATTACAATGTTGGATGTTTGGTTTCCTTGAAGTGCTGGGGGGAGAGAAGGGGTTTTAAAATTTATTTTTCTTGCCAAAACCGGTTTGGCTCAGTGGATAGAGCGTCGGCCTGCAGACTGAAGGGTCCTGGGTTCGATTCTGATCGAGGGCATGTACCTTGATGGCGGGCACATACTCAGTGGAGGGTGTGCAAGAGGCAGCTGATCGATGACCCTCTCTCATCAGTATTTCTAGCTCTCTATCTCTCTCCCTTTCTGAACGAAATCAATAAAAATATTTTTAAAAATTCTTTTCTTTTCTTTCTTTCCCTTCCTTCCTCCCTCCCTTCCTTTCTCTTTCTCTCTCTCTCTCTCTCTCTCTCTCTCTCTCTCTCTCTCTCTTTCTTTCTTTCTTTCTTTCTTTCTTTTCTCTTTTCTTTTCTTTTTTTTCTTTCTTTTTCTATCCCTTTATTCATTTCTAATCTAAATCCTTTTCCTTGCTCTATCAACACCCCCTTGTGGTTATGTAGAAAAGTGATGCCACCAACTGGCTGATTCTAAGAACTTCACTTTGAGTCCTTTGACTTTTCTAGAATTTTGTTGGTTGATTAATTGATCTTTTCTTCCTCCCTCCCTCCCTTTTCTCCTTTGCATTATTAATTCATTCGTGTGCTAATCTTAGCATTTCCCAAACTGTTACTATGTGTTAGGCACTGTGCTAGATGGTGGGAAGATAAAAAGAGAGGCCAGGCTGAGGGACTCCCACCCCCAGTGCATACATTTTCATGCACCGGGCCTCTAGTAAAATATATTAAACTTTTGAGAGGGATGGTAGGATCTTTAAGATAATCTAGTTCAGTCCAGCTAGTGTGGCTCAGTGGTTGAGCGTCAACCGATGAACCAGAAGGTCACAGTTCGATTCCCAGTCAGGGCACATGCTCAATCCCCAGTGTGAGGCGTGCTGGAGGCAGTGACAAAAATTCTCTCAACATTGATGTTTCTATCTCTCTCCCTCTCCCTTCCTCTCTGAAATCAATAAAAAATATATGTATATTTTAAAAAGTAGCCCAGAATCAGCAAATCCATGGAGACACAAAGTAGTTTAGTGGTTGATGGTGGCTGACAGAAGAGGAAAACGGAAAGTAACCGTTAATGGGTACAGGATTGCTTTAGGGGTGATGAAAACGATCTGATCATGGCGCAAAACTTTGTGAATGCACAGAAAGTCACTAAATTGTACACTTAACGTGCCCTTTTAAAAAGGGAAGACTCTGCTGAAACCGGTTTGGCTCAGTGGATAGAACGTGGGCCTGTGGACCGAAAGGTCCCGGATTCAATTCCGGTCAAGGGCATGTACTTGGGTTGCAGGCACATTCCCAGTCGGGGGCGTGCAGGAGGCAGCTGATCGATGGTTCTCTCTCATTGATGTTTCTAACTCTCTATCCCTCTCCTTTCCTCTCTGTAAAAAATCAATAAATTTTTTTTTTTTTAAAAAGGGAAGACTTTATGGTTCATAAATTACAATCAGAATTCCAACAGCAATGTGTTTTGGGGGGACAAGGCAAAGGGAACACAATGTTGTTTAATCTAAAATTCATTTGGGAGGGTAGGGGCAGGACAAATTGAGTAAAGGGGTCAAATATATGGCAATGGAAGGAAACTAGACTTATGGTGGTGAGTATGCAATACAGCACACAGATATTGAATTATGTTGTATATTTGAAATTTATATAATTATTATAAAAATAAATAAAACTCACTTGGAAAAAATACATCTGTATGAAGAAAAGTGTAGAATGAGAATCTGCTCGCCCAAAATATACAGGGGCCCAGCAGGAGTGGCACAGTTGGTTGAATATCATTTCATGCACCAGGAATTGGCTGGTTGGATTCCTGCTCAGGGCACATGCCTTGGTTGAGGGTGCTGGATCCCAAGTTGGGGATGTGCAGAAGAAAGCCCACCCATATTTCTCTCTTATAGATGATGTTTCTATCTCTCCCTCTCTATTTCTCTCTCTAAAATTAAAAAAAAAAACATTAAAAAATATACATACATATGGAATTACTATAATAAAGACATTATAGCAAAGCAAATAGATCAATGAAACAGAAACAAATGCAGAAATATATATTTCACATACAATATAGGTGGTATGTGTATGAAGGGTAAATTTATTAAATGCTGAAAGGGAGACACTATCAATTTGACTTTAAATGAATTGTGTTCTATTCATCCTATCAGAATGCAAACTTATTTGAAAAATAGTGCTGCAGTATATTTATTTGCAGCTCCAGTGTGCCCAAATGTTGGAAATCTCTGGCTTTTAAAATCAACTCTGACTTCAGTTGGCATCGGCCTTTCATGATCTGGCCCCCACACTCAAGCCAGTTCAACTTTAAGAACTGGGTCGAAGATCAGTTTACTATGCTGTATCACTTCTCCACCCTGACCCAGCTGTTCAGCTCCCATTTCTTTCAAATACTTGAGCACCTTCAAGTTGGATGCTTCCTCTTCTTCACCACTCTTTATTATCCAACCTTCCTGCATGCATTTGTCCGCGGGCCTACTCTGTCACATTGTACTGGAAAGGCAGGGCCCGTAGCTTTCCGTGTCTATATATGTCCTCCTCTTAAACCAGAAAAGAAACAAACAAACAAAAAATACACAAAACCATACATTCTTCAAATGACCTATAGGACGAGTTATTTTTCTTTTCCTCAATAAGGTAACTGAAGCGTGAAGTGGGCAAAAGTCTCGAGAAAGTTCTTCCCCACAAGAGGCTGGGATTCCATAAGAATATAGCTTGTCCTGACCGGTTTGGCTCAGTGGATAGAGCGACGATCTCCGGACTTAAGGCTCGCTGGTTCGATTCCGGTCAAGGGCATGGTTGTGGGCACATCCCCAGTGGGAGGGTGTGCAAGAGGCAGCTAATACTGATAGATGTTTCTCTCTCATCTATGTTTCCAGTTCTCTATCCCTCTCCCTTCCTCTCTGTAAAAAAAATCAATAAAACATATATTTTTTAAAACAAGAATATAGTTCAATTTGGGGAGAAATCGGCCTAATTCCCAGACTCGTGCCTGTTATTGTGTAGGTTACCCATCCGCCCACAACCAAGATAGATTTCTCCCCGCATGGATTTCACTTTAATAAGAGGATTAGTAACCATCTTTCTCCGGGGCAGGGCCCGCCAGGGAGGTCCCACCCCACCCGCCTCGGCTAAAGCCCGGCGCCTCGAAATCAGCGAGCGTCCAATCGGCATAGACGTCTTCACCGGAACTTCTTTGCCTCACGACCGGAAGAGGCTGTGCGTAAGGGCGTTGGGGGCGGAAGTGACGGGAAGGTGGTTGTGGGATAGTTGGCGGGTGGTGGAGCCGAGCCGGTCGCCATGTCCGCGGGGAGCGCGACACATCCTGGAGCCGGCGGGTAAAGCTCCGCGGGCGAGGCCATCGCGGCGGCGGGGGGCGCGGGGGCGGCGGGGGACCCCGGGGAGCTGCGGTGGGTGGAGGGGCGCTGCAGGGGGAGGGTACGATGGGGGGGGCGGGTTGTTGGGCAGGGAGGTGAGCAGGCCTGGGGCCCCGGAGAAAGGCCGGCGGGGACCAGGGGGGAGAGGAAAGCAGGGGCTTGGGAAGTGCGGGCCAAGGGGAAGGCGGACAGGAGGGCTTGTGGACAGGCTTGATACGGAGGACGGAAGAGAATGGAAGTAGATTCTGGAAAAGCGTTGAAAGAAGTGAGGATTTGGGAAAATAATGCAGTCATGGTAAGATGGTGACTTAAAGCCGGAGATTCGAAGGTGTAAAGGGAACGTGATAGAGGGAAAAGGGGGTGCCAAGGCACGGGAAGGAGAAAACAGTATTAAGGGCCTATTATTTTTCTTTTACTTATTGTAGGCGTCGCAGCAAATGGGACCAGCCAGCTCCAGCCCCAGCCCCGCTCCTCTTCCTCCCGCCGACGGTCCCAGGTGGGGAGGTGGCCAGCAGCGGGGCGAGTCCTGGGGGCACCACAGCTGCTCCCTCTGGAGCCTTAGATGCTGCTGCCGCTGTGGCTGCCAAGATCAATGCCATGCTCATGGCCAAAGGGAAGCTGAAACCAACTCAGAATGCTGCTGAGAAGGTATTTGTTAAGTTGAAGGGGACTCTGCCAATTGCCGTTTTAAGAGGGTTATTTTGTAATCAATCATGTGTATTAATGAGGGAGAAAACGGGTACAGTCATTTAAAGATCACTTCGTTTTGGAATGTATCAGAAGTTTTGTCATTTGTTTTGACGAGGCAGTTCTGGCTGGGTTGATTACATTTGTGGACCAACTACTAGCTTGTTTTGTCTGTGTTTACTTAGTTCAGCTTAAGTTTATCTAGTTATGTGCATTTTCCCTAAAGTCACAGGAGTGCCGAAACCGGTTTGGCTCAGTAGATAGAGCGTCGACCTGCGGACTGGAAGGTCCCGGGTTCGATTCCGATCAAGGGCATGTACCTTGGTTGCGGGCACATCCCCGGTAGGGGGTGTGCAGGAGGCAGCTGGTCGATGACTCTCAATCATCGATGTTTCTAACTCTATCCCTCTCTCTTTTTCTCTGTAAAAAATCAATAAAATGTGTTAAAAAAAAATAGTATCAGGGTTCTAATTTAAAAAAAAAATCACAGGAGTTCAAATAAATCAAGTGGACTTTCAAATGTCTCTAATAATCTATAAATTGAGCTTTTTAAAATTCATTTTTTTTAATTTATTGATTTCAGAGAGAGGAATGGGAGAGAAAGAAACCTCTACTTGTTACACTTATTTATGCATTCACTGGTTGATTCTTTTTTTTTTTTTTTAATATATTTTATTGATTTTTATACAGAGAGGAAGGGAAAGAGATAGTCAGAAACATCAATGAGAATCATCGACCAGCTGCCTCTTGCACACCCCCTACTGGGGATGTGCCCACAACCAAGGTTCATGCCCTTGATCGGAATCGAACCTGGAACCCCCTCAGCCCCCAAGCCGACGCTCTATCCATTGAGCCAAACCGGTCCCAGCACTGGTTGATTCTTGTATGTTTGCCCTGACCAGGGGTTGTACCCAAAATCCTGGTGTATTGGATTAAACTTTATTTATTTATTTATTTATTTATTTATTTATTTATTTATTTATTTATAATTTCTAAATTCAGTTTCTTTTTCTTTTCTTTTATTTATCTATTTATTTATTTTTTAATATATTTTTATTGATTTTGTACAGAGAGGAAGGGAGAGAGATAGAGAATTAGAAACATCGATGCGAGTCATCGATCAGCTGCCTCTTGCACACCCCCTACTGGGGATATGCCTGCAACCAAGGCACATGCCCTTGACCGGAATCGAACCCAGGACCCTTCAGTCCCCAAGCCGACGCTCCATCCATTGAGCCAAACCGGTTTTGGCTGGATTAGATTAAACTTTTTAATGACTGCCTAACCAAAGTGCAATTATATAAGAAATAAAAGAATAATTTATAGATAGGTGTTTTTGTCGTTTTTACACAAATTGAGGAAATTATTTGAACATTTTATAAACTCCCTTACAGCTAGAATGGATCTGAACTTGGAAAACTTGAACTTACTAACCATAGAATGCAAGAATCTTCTTATAGGATAATGAATATGTACCAACTGTTTGTATTGCCAGAATGTATGCTTTGCACTTAAAATAAATCCTTACAACAATTCAATGAAATGAATTATTGTCACTAGTTTATTGGTAAGGAAATGTAGGCTCATGAATGTCAAGTAACTTGTCCAACATCTGTAAGTGGTAGGCACAGTCGTCTGCTTCAGAGTCCCTTTGGACTATTGGATGTTTGGCTTTTTCTTGAAAGCCTAAGAGTTGTAGAGTTCATTGTATTCCTAGGCAGCCCATTTCATTGGAATTATAATTTTCAAAAGTGCTTTTGGCTTAAATTTGCCATCCTTGTGAAGAGGTGAGTTCTGTGTTTGAAAATGCAGTGAATGTGAGGTTATGGATTTGTTAATTAGCATGTTTGTGGTAACTACTTCACAATGTATACATAGAGTAAAACCATCAAGTCGTGCATCTTAAATTTTTATATTCTAATTATACCTCAATAAAGCTGGAAAAAAAGAAAATTATGTTCTTTGTTAGCCTTCTAATTTATCAGTAGATAACATTAACAGAATGTTTATTTGGTTTGCAAAGACATATTTTTATTGATTTCAGAGAGGAAGAGAGAGAGGGAGAGAAACTCAATGTTGAGAGAGAATCACTGATCGTCTGCCTCCTACATGCCCCCTTTTGGAGGGTCAAGCCCGAAATTCAGGTATATGCCCTTGACTGGAATCGAACCCAGGACCCTTCAGTCTGTAGGCCGCTGAGCTAGAGGTCACTTAACATTGTGTCATTAGGATTCTGTGAGATAAGATGTATAATGCATGCTGAAGAGGGTTAAACAAAGGTAGGGAATGTGTCTTTTTAGTGTGTCTCCAGATTTCAGGCTCTTATTGGCTTTTGACCCACCCTTCCTTAAGAGAGAGTAATGGGGTAAAACGTTAATTAGATACAATTTAAGGTTATTGTTTTTTAAGTTGATTTTAGAGAGAAGAGGGGAGAGAGAGAGAAACATTGATTGGTTGCCTCCCACACTTGCCACAGCAGGGATGGAACCCACAGTCTTGCTGTGTGCCCTGACTGGGAATCAAACCCATCACCTTTTGGTGTACGGGAAGATGCTCCAGCCAACTGAGCCACACCAGCCAGGGCCAATTTAAGGGTTTTGATATTGAAAGATTCAATTAGTTGAATTTGATACGTTGTGGCCATAGTGTTAACACTAAACATGTAAGGCTACTTCCCATTATACAGGTGTTACTTTTTGTGAATTGTATGTTGCACTCTACCCTGTATTTATATTCATGGTTAGCTAATTGAGCTGCAAAGCATTATGACTTGGCCCTTCTAATTCATAGAGTTTCTGTAATTATGTGGTCATAAAAATGCACACATGGCCAAGATTGTAGAGAAATCTGATGGCAGCCTTCAAGAAAATTGATTGTACTTGCTATAATTTTAGTGAGGTTTTTAAATGTTTATTTTTTAAATATATTTTTGTTGATTTCAAAGAGGAAGGGTGAAACATCAATGATGAGAATCATTGATCAGCTGCCTCCTGCATGCCCCTCCTGGAAGTCGATCCTGAAACTGGGCATGTGCCCTGACCAGGACCTCTCGGTTCATAGACGGACACTCAGTAGTGAGGTTTTATTTGCATGTTATTTCACTCATGAAGAATGACCAAGGAGTGTTTCCCAGTATATTTGTAGGCAGGTAAAGGGGAACTTGGGAAGGTATATTTTTAAATTTAGGCATTGAAGAGTTATTTCATCATGTAAACTTTTTAATCTGATTTCTCTTTGTAGCTTCAGGCCCCTGGAAAAGGCTTAACGAGCAGTAAAAGCAAGGACGACCTGGTGGTAGCTGAAGTAGAAATCAATGATGTGCCTCTCACATGTAGGAACTTGCTGACTCGAGGACAAACTCAAGATGAGGTGTGGAGATGTTGGGCTTTGGGGAATGTGGGTGGATGTGGTTTCAGAAAAATAAAGACTGCTAAATAAGGACAGATATGAATCAGATATTTATTACTGTATTTGGGTCATTCTCTCCAAAGTTGGGGTTAGGTTTGATTTAACTGCAGTGTAACTTCTGAGTGATAGTAAAAAAAACAACAGAAATAGCTCTGTGTGAATTCCCGGGGTGGTCTGAGTAAGAAACAATGGAACTCGATTTTCAGATAGCAGAGAGAACTCATTTCCTCCTTATTGATGGAATGGATGGATGGGGGAAATCTATCTTGCTACCTGTCATTGAAGCCAATCAATTGCCACATCATCTTTTTAATAGAAAATTTCCTTTTCAGATCAGCCGACTTAGTGGAGCTGCAGTGTCAACTCGAGGGAGGTTCATGACCACTGAGGAGAAGGCCAAAGTAGGACCAGGGTGTGTATGCATAACTTTTACTTTGGGGAAGGGCCGAGTATATGACTCACATTAGCTTAATATATCTTATTCTTAGGGAGTATATGTAAGTGCTTGATTAGTAGCTTATGCAATAGCTACTTTGGTTAATAGATACACACTTAAGTACATGTGTATATGCTTTATTGCAGAATTCAGGACATCTTCAATAGATTCAAAAAGTGTTGCAGTTATTCTTTTTCTTATTGTGCTATGTCTCTCTCTCTCTCTCTCTCACTCACTCACTCACTCACTCACTCACACATTCAAACAAGTACTTGCCCTTGCCTGGGAATCCAACCCAGTACCTTTGCTCCACTGGTGGCTGTTCTAACACGTGGGTGGGGTATGTTGGTCTGAGGCTTGTGAAATCATTTGGTCTGGCCCTACTGAGGCCTTAGTGGTGAGTTAATTAAATGTTTAGCCAAATATAGCAGGCTAATTTTTTTTTCTTTTTTATTAAGGTATTATATGTGTACATACCTGACCAGTCCCCACCTCCCCCCACTCCCATACATGTCTTCCCTCCCCAGAGTTTTTCTTCCATTGGTTATGCTTATATGCATGCATACAAGTCCTTCGGTTGATCTCTTATCCCCCCCCATATCTCCCTCCCCTCCCCTCTGTAATTTGACTGTCTGTTAGCAGGATAATTTTTAAGTTGATCATTTTGTATGGCCTGTGAATGATGTTATAAATATCCAGATGGCACTTGGCAGAAAAAAGGTTCCCCGACCCCTGTTCTAACCCAGCCAGGGCTAAACAATTGTTAAAAAAATATATATTTTATTGATTTTTTTTTTTTTTTTTTTTTTTTTAAACAGAGAAGAAGTTAGAGGGATAGAGAGTTAGAAACATCAATGAGAGAGAATCATTGATCAGCTGCCTCCTGCACCACCCCCCACTGGGGATGTGCCCGCAACCAAGGTATATGCCCTTGACTGGAATCGAACCTCGGTCCGCAGGCCGAATCTCTATCCACTGAGCCAAACCAGTTTTGGCAGGGCTAAACAAATAAAATTTTTTTTTTTTATTGTTTGAAAGATTACAAATAGTAGTACATATGTCTCCTCCCCACCACCCTTGACCTCCCCCCAACAATTTTTTAAAAATCAAGACTCCTTAATGGCTCTGATGATTATAAGTTGTAGGATATCTGTAAAGATTTCATCTCAGTTTAGTTTCGTCTCTTTCAGTATTCAGTTTTATTTTATTTTATCTTTAAAAATATATATATATATTTTATTGATTTTTTTTACAGAGAGGAAGGGAGAGGGATAGAGAGTTAGAAACATGGATAAGAGAGAAATATCTATCAGCTGCCTCCTGTACACCCCCTACTGGGTTGTGCCCGCAACCAAGGTACATGCCCTTGACCGGAATTGAACCTGGGACCCTTCAGTCCGCAGGCTAATGCTCTATCTACTGAGTCAAATAGGTTTCGGCTTCAGTTTTATTTTTTTAATCCTTATCTGAGGATTGGTTTTTATTGATTTTTTAGAGAGGGAAAAGGAGAGAGACCGCCATCCATGTGAGAGAAAAACATTGATTGGTTGCCTCCTGGTACATGTGCCAGCTGGGAATCAAACCCACAACCTAGGTATGGGCCCTGATTGGAAATCAAACTTGCAACCTTTTGATGTATGGGACAACACTCCAATCAAGTACCTGGCCAGGGCAAAACAACATCTTTAGCATTTGCTTAATCATTTCTCCATTGTTAAACCATGCTCTTAGAAATTAGCAATAGCCATTTCTATGTGTGGTTTAGCTTCTTTCACTTATTTGGAAGCTTTAAATGTTATAAATTAGCTTTGGTGACTCATTTAGCTCCTCCTTTGGTTACCAGTTTGGGCTCATCATTTTATTTTTCTCTTTATAGGGATCGTCCATTATATCTTCATGTTCAGGGCCAAACACGGGAATTAGTGGACAGTAAGTAATGTTTTTGGCTCATACCACTTTTTGTGAAAAGCAAAGTACAGGGATGTGTGTAATACTATTTATGAATGCATGAATATGCATAGGGGTTTAGAAAGGCTGGGAGCCAGACATTTGGGTCACCTATAAAATGGATTAATATTTAAATAAGTATTGGCCTGTGTTTATCATTGGGTACTAGTCAGTTCATTCAGTTCTTTGGTATAGTATTTTACTCTGTGCTTTTCCCTAGGAGCTGTAAACCGAATCAAAGAAATTATTACCAATGGGGTGGTGAAAGCTGCCACGGGGACAAGTCCAACCTTTAATGGTGCAACGGTCACTGTCTATCACCAACCAGCGCCCATTACGCAGCTGTCTCCGGCTGTTAGCCAGAAGCCTCCCTTCCAGTCAGGGGTATGTTTTGTGGGGAGATCATTAACAGCTTTATCGTTTCTATAAAAATGACATATGCCAAATAACACAAAGTATGAAGAGAAGTAAAATCCTGAAAGTTACCATTATTAATATCAGGTTAATGGTATCCAAGACATAGTGGTGAATGGTATCCAAGATATAGTAGTGAACATTTGAGCACACAGCTCTTCCTGTTGACATATTCCAGAAAAGGGGTTCTGATAGATCGAAGTGTATGCTTGTTGTACATTTAAAGTTAGTGGTTTGAATTTATATTTGTAAACCTGATGGCAACTGGAGGACTAAGAAGGCTGAGTCTGATGAAGCAAGACTCTGCTGATACAATCCTCCTAAAAAAAAAAAAGGGTTGTAGAGAGCAGCCTTTATTGGAGAATATAATATGGCTGACTGTACTACCCAACATTCTACTCCAGCTTTACAGGAAACTGTCTTTGGTATAATTTCTAATATATCAGTTGGGAAGAACTGGGAATGCTTATTCAGTATTGAATTGGAGTTTTCATCTCTCAGATAGGTTTTGCTGAGCAGAGAGGTAGGTATGTGGACTGGAGTTTCATTTAAATTAAGCTACCTGCTAAGGTTTATTTTCATGCCATTTTGATAGAAATTTTAGGAGATCCTTATTCTGAAAGTGATTAAACATATCTGGGGAATAAAAATATTTTGTATAATGATTTTCATGGTTGGGATCTAATTTTGTATTCTCTGTTTAACCTGACCTTTCTGTTCCTCTACAGATGCATTATGTTCAAGATAAATTATTTGTGGGTCTGGAACATGCTGTGCCCACTTTCAATGTCAAAGAGAAAGTGGAAGGTCCAGGCTGCTCCTATTTGCAGCACATTCAGATTGAAACAGGTGCCAAAGTCTTTCTTCGAGGCAAGGGTTCAGGGTGCATTGAGCCAGCATCTGGCCGAGAAGCTTTTGAACCTATGTATATATACATCAGGTATGGATAGAGCTGAGAACATTTAAATCCTTGATAACTTAGCAGTACAGATAGCAGTGATTCAGAAGGAGTAAGAGAAAAATGGGCGTTATAAGTAGTACCGTGAAGGAACTTAGGTAAATACCAGGAGTAATCACTTATAATCCTATATAATAAAAGCCTAATATTTCAAACCGGTTTGACTCAGTGGATAGAGTGTCAGCCTTTGGACTAAAAGGTCCTGGGTTTGATTCCGGTCAAGGGCATGTATCTTGGTTGCGGGCACATCCCCACTAAGGGGTGTGCAAGAGGCAGCTGATAGATGATTCTCTCTCATCGATGTTTCTAACTATCCTTCTATCTTCCTCTATAAAAAATCAATAAAATATATTAAAATAAAGGACAACTCTAAAAATTAAAAAAGTCTAATATGCAAATCAATTGAACAGTGGAACAAGCTGTGGAATGACCGGTCATTATGATGCACTGACCACCAGGGGGAAATTGCTCAACACAGTAGCTGGCCCCAGGCTGCAGGCCCCAGGCCAGCCAAGGCAGATGCCAGTGGGGGCCTCCCGATTACTCTGTTGGTCACCCCACAGATAAGCCCTGATCACTGGCCAGGCCTAGGGGCCCTACCCTTGCATGAATTTCATGCACCAGGCCTCTAGTTAGTAAAAATTGTTGGATTAGGAGATAAATTATCTTTTTTAGTATTCGACTCCTTGGATTTTATACAAGTCTATAATTCTAAAACGAGCTGTTATGAGCCTACAATAACTTTGACTTAAACCTATCACAATATTTTTAAATGTCTTTATATCACGAAGTACTATTACTCAGAGAAAGACCAATAAAATAATGTGGTAATAATACTAGTTATAGCTTAAAGGGCCTATAACATTAGTCTGTGTCCCAGTTTTATGGTTTTCAGAAGCTTAGATTTGTGCTGCATTGACTATGTTAAGTTTACAAAGCAGCATACAGAGTGAAAACAGAATCCTGCGTCTTTATTTTTCTTCTTTTTGAATTTCTGGTTCTTAATTTTTTGCAGTCATCCCAAACCAGAAGGCCTTGCTGCTGCCAAGAAGCTCTGTGAGAATCTCTTGCAAACAGTGAGTTATATTTGTCTGTCTCATTTATTCAGAACAGCCACTGCCATTTTAGACTGTGTCTTAGCTTATTTTCCCTACCTGTATTAGTTTCCTACGCTGCCACACAAAGTTACCACAACAAAATTCAAACAACAGAATTGTATTCTCTTATAGTTCAGGGAGCCAGGAATCCAGAATTGAGGTGGGGGGTAGGTTGGCCCTCCTGGAGGCTCTGTGGAGAGTCCCTCCCACACCTCCTATCTTGTGATCGTCTAGTCCTTGGCATTCCTTGCCTTATGACAGCATAATTCCAATCTTATCTTTTCTCCTAAGGGTAGCAGTCTTTGGATTTACTCTAATCCAGTTTGACTTCATTTTAGCAACCTCCAAGCAGATACCTTGTTTCCAAATGAGGTCACATTCTGAGTGAATATGCGGGGGTGGAGGTGGGAAGGACACACATGACACTATTCAAACCATTCCACCATTCCAGCAACTAACATTCTTTTTAAGGAAGTCATATTACCCTAGCCAGGGGCACAGTTGACATCATTTGTCCTTCAGGAGCTATTTCAGTATGGAATTTTGAATCTATATTACATATTTTCCCTTCTCTTGCAGGTTCATGCCGAATACTCTAGATTTGTGAATCAGATTAATACTGCTGTACCTTTACCAGGTGTGTATGTCTCAAAGTATTTATAAAATATTTTGCTAGTGATATTTATGAATAAACTAGTGATATTTGAGGTTAGACTAATTGTGCCAGGGCACTCTAGAGTTCCCTTCAACTTAGGGGAATTTGGAAAGCAGGTTGAGCCTCAGTATTTTTCTCCCCTGAAGATTAAGTTTAATATTCAGCTAAAATGTCTCATTCTGCTGCAGCTGATTAAACACTTTTTTTCTTCCCCTTCAGGCTATACACAACCCTCTGCTATAAGTAGTGTCCCTCCTCAACCACCATATTATCCATCCAATGGCTATCAGTCTGGTTACCCTGTTGTTCCCCCTCCTCAGCAGCCAATTCAGCCTCCCTATGGCGTTCCAAGCATAGTGCCACCAGCTGTTTCATTGGCACCTGGAGTCTTGCCACCATTACCTACTGGAGTTCCACCTGTGCCTACACAATACCCGATAACACAAGTGCAGCCTCCAGCTAGCACTGGACAGGTAAGATGCCAGAATATGAAACATTGAATTTGGAAAAATTGGGGTGGAAAGGTGGTGATTTTATTCAGAAATTGTATGTAATATGAGATACTGTTTTCCTACTTTTTTAATTAAAAAATATATATAATTTGTTGATTTTTTTACAGAGAAAAAGGGAGAGAGAGAGTTAGAAACATTAATAGGAGAGAAGCATTGATCAGCTGCCTCTTGCACGCCTCCTATTGGGGATGTGCCTGCAACAAAGGTTCATGGCCTTGACCAGAAACAAACCTGGGACCTTTCAGTCCGCAGGCCGATGTTCTATCCACTGAGCCAAATTGGTTTCGGCTATTTTTAAAATTTTTAAAGATTAATTTAGAGAGAGAAACGTCAATTTTGTTGTTCTACTTATGCACTTATTGGTTGATTCTTTTTTTAATTAAAAATTTTTTAAATTAAAAGGCTTTTTTTGTGTAGCTATTATTAATCTTTACCTGAGGATGTATTTTCCATTGGTTTTTAGAGACTAAAATGGGAGGGAGGTAAGGAGAAAGGGAGAAAAAGAGAAAGAGAGAAACATTGGTGTGGAAATGACACATTGATGGGTTGCCTCCTGAACCCTGTGCCTGGTTGCCTCCTGCATTCACTCCTACCGGGGCTGGAAATCAAACCTGCAACCCAGGTATGTGCCCTTGATTGGGGATCGAACCCTAGACCCTTTGGTGTGAGGGCCGATGCTCTAACCTGAGCCACACTGGCCAAGGCTATTGACTGATTAATTCTAAGCCCAACTGGGCATAGAAACTGCAGCCTTGGTGTATTGGGGTGGCACTCTAACCAACTAAGCTACCCAGCCAGTTCTATCTTCTCTTACCACCAACAAACTACTTGAGTACTTTGGAATTATGTGTACATGTGTCTGCCATCTTGAAGTCAGTTTCATGAGCCTTGCCACCTTATAGTTTAGAGCAGGTGTCAGTGGACTTTCTATAAAGTACCTGATGTTAAATATTTTAGGCTTTGTAAGCCACATGGTCTCTGTCACAATTACTGCAGCTCTGCTGTTTTTGCAAAAAGCAGCTGCAGACAATACCAAACACACACGCGTATCCGTATGCCAGTCACACTTGATTGACAAAAATAGGTAGCAGGCCAGAATCATAGGGTGCCATACTGTGGGCCATCATGTGCCTGCACCTCGCTCTATATAGTTTAAAAGTGCTCAAGGGAAAGGGGCTGGCCTGTACCGCATTTCTAGATGATTGGAATGGAATTGCCATCTTAGAACTATATCATATACGGGTGTTCCTAGGCCAAGATTAAAGGGAACTTGCTGAACATAAGGATTATGAGTGCTGGTATTTATTTCTCGAACTGTAAGAAACTGGAATTTTAGGAAAGAAGTAGGCAGTTAGCTCATCTATACACATTATATACAGTCATCCTTAGAGGCAGGGGAGAGACTGATGAAAGAGCATGGTAATGGATTTACGGTGGGCCCTTCTCTGTGGGCTCCTCAGTGTTCCCATGCCAGAGTAAACTGCTGCCTCGAACCATTGCCCAGCCTCCTTCCCTGTGGGCTGTCAGCACTGAAGAGGGTAGTACAGTATGAGACAACAAATGACGTCCGTTGTGGTCTCTGTCATAATTATTTTACATTTAGGCAGAGAGAGCTGTATAGTTCTCCAGCTTTGAATCACCTTCTGTTGTAACGAGAAAGCAGTATAGCAGAGGGATTAGCAGTTGGGGTTTAGACATAGATATGCTTTTCCGTGTTTGAGTTGTGTGATGTGAGGATAAATACAGCCTATCAAGGCTTTGGTTTTCTTTCTATATAGAATGGGAGTAGCCCTGGCCAGTGTGGCTCAATTGGTTGGAGCGTGTCCTGGTACCAAAAGGTCGCCAGTTTGATTTCAGGCCAGAGTAGGTACCAGAGGCAGCTATCTATGTTTCTCTCTCACATCAATGTTTCTCTTCCTTTCCTATCCTCTCTCACTTAAAAAAAAAAAAAAAAAAAGAAAAGAAAAGAAAAAGAAAGAAAGAAAGAAAGAAAATTAAGAAAGAAATCTGCCCTAATTGGTTTGGTTCGGTAGATAGAGCATCAGCCTGCAGCCTGAAGGGTCCCAGGATTGATTCTGGTGGAGGGCACATGCCCCCATTGCGGGCTCAATCCCCAGTAGGGGGCATGCAGGAGGCAGCCAATCAATGATTCTCTCTCATCATTGAGTGTTTCCTTTTTAAAATATAATTTTATTGATTTAAGAGAGGGAGGGAGGTTGAGGGAGAGAGAGGAGAGAGAGACACAGACATCAATAATGAGAGAGGATCATTGATCTGCTGGGGATCAAGCCTGCAACCCCAGTATGTGCCCTGACTGGGAATCGAACCATGACCTTCTGTTTAATTGGTTTATGCTCAACCACTGAGCCATGCCTGCCACAATATGAGTCTGTACCCTTGACTGGAATGGAACCTGAGACCCTTCAGTCCACAGGCCGATGGCACTCTATCCACTGAGCAAAACCAGCTAGGGCAGTAACAGAGTGTTGTTGCTTGATAACTTCTGAACTAGATAAGTGTCTGGAGTTTTTGTTTGTTAAAGGTCATGTTTGCTCCTAATAGACCCAGGAACTAAAACGGGTCTATACCAATCAGCTGCCTCCTACATGCTCCCACCAGATCTATTTCCAGTCAGGGCACATGTCCAAATTATGGGCATGATCCCCAGGATGGGGCATGTAGGAGACAGCAGATTGGTGTTTCTATTCCTCTTCCTTCCTCTGTCTAAAATCAATAAAAACATATTTTTAAAAATTATGCATTAAGGAAACTAGATGAGAGAGGATTAAGTATTAGAAAGTGATTCATGTGCTACCTACTGATCATTAAAGTATATTATAATCATTGTTTACTTCATTAGTTGGGGATTCTCACATTTTTCCCCCCCTTGGTTTGTTTTTGTCCCAGAGTCCGATAAGTGGGCCTTTTATTCCTGCTACTCCTGTCAAACCTGCCTTGCCTGCCGGCCCCCCGCCCCCACCCCCACCCCAGCCCCAGCCTCAGGCCCCACTCCCAACTCAAACCCAGGCACAGAAGAGGAGGTTCACGGAGGAGCTACCCGATGAACGAGAATCTGGACTTCTTGGATACCAGGTTAAATAAAATATCCTGTCTTACTTTCCTAATCTTATTCTGTATTCTCCCTTTAAAGATAAATTCACATCTATATCACCCGTCCTCCCAATACTAAGATTTCCATTTTCTGGAATCTACTTAGGTTAGATTTTTATCCTTGGGGGATTAATTTAAAGCAAGAGTTGATTTCTTCTGAGTGGGTTTTTTCCTTGGGCATACATAGCCTTCCACCTAGAGAAGTCTCTAGCATCAAATGAATTCTGTAAAATTCTGGACTTCCTCTAATACTTCTTACTTCCCTACACATCTCACTGAAAGCTCATTCTACCAAATGTGGTTTATATTTAAAACCTTGGCTTTCAGTTTTTGATGTCCTTTCTTTCCCTAAAAAAAGTGGTGGTTTTTTTTCCCTCCAATGCCCCCCCAAAGTGTCAGAAATGTAGTGTATCTGCATACACATAAATACAATCATTTACTAAGGAGTTTTTTGTTTGTTTGTTTTTTAAGATTATTAAATATCAAAATATGTAGTTTGGTGCAATTTTGTTTTATCAGGAAAAGCGCTTTTGCTTTTTGCTGAAATCCTTGAAGCATTCTTTTGAAAAAACTTTGAAGTATTTTTATAGCTTATAATTAGGTTTGTACAAACCATTAAAGTTATGGGAAGTTGAAAACAGATAGATGTAACAATGAATCACCACACCCTTGACCTTCCCAACAGAAAAATAATCTCTACTTTGACTATGGTTATGCTCCAAATCCCAAGGAGCTATGTAGTGCAGGTTACTGCAATTTGCCAGAAAGATGAGGCACTGACAGTTACATTAAGGAGCTAAAGTCAATACAGCAGTTGTAGATTTGCTAATGCTACTGTATTTTTCTGCTCATAGCATGGACCCATTCATATGACTAATTTAGGTACAGGCTTCTCCAGTCAGAATGAGGTTGAAGGTGCAGGATCGAAGGCGGCAAGTTCCTCAGGCAAAGAGCGAGAGAGGGACAGGTAAGTTAATTGGAATGTAATTATCCTCTCTAATAAAAGGGTAATATGCAAATTAACCATCACTCTGTCACAAAATATGGCAGTGTTTACAGCCACAAGATGGCAGCACCCAGTCCTCTCAGCCCCACTGGAGTCCCCCGTCCTGGCGAGGGGGGGAGTTAGGGCAGCATGAGCAGCCTGGCAGAATGCTTGCTTCATTACCACAGTGACAAGGCAAGCATTCCTCGCCCGGCCGCAGGTGGGCCTCTGGGCCACAGAGAGCCTCTGGGCAGTGGGCTCCGAGCAGCCAGGTCCCACAAAGAGCTACTGGTACACGAATTCGTGCACAGGGCTACTAGTATATTCATATGTCATTTGTACCATTAATGTAAATGATGATCATTGCTACAAGTTTCCATGTTCTAATACTGAAATGAAATCACTTGGGCAAACAAGTTCCTGTTGTAGTTGATGCAATAATGGAAAATACAATGATATAACTTCCCCAGTTTTAGAGGTCGCTATACTTAGCTTTGAATAATTCCATGCTTGCTTATTCAGTCGTCTTCCTTTACCTTCATTGTATCTTGGCCATTATTTTTTAAAGGGTAGGCAGTAGTGCACAATCAAGCCATTTTGCTACTTTGAATCATAGAGTATCATGGATGGAAGAGATACTTGAATGGGAGTCAAGCCTGCCCTCTAGTGCTTGGATTCTACCTATGTCATTGTTAGCCTTCCTAAGAGGGAGCTCACTTCCCATAACAGTTCTTTCTGTTTTTGGCCTGGCTATGTAGTCAAAGCCTCATAATCTTACAACTTGAAAATAGCTTGAAATAATGGCAAATATGAACTTGAAAGGTTATCCGCAGACTGTCCTGTTAATCCCCCTTCTTATCTACAGGAGAATTTAAAATTGATTGAATTGGTCTGAAAGAGTGTTTCTGTTTTAACAGGCAGTTGATGCCTCCACCAGCCTTTCCGGTGACTGGAATAAAAACAGAGTCTGATGACAGGAATGGGTCTGGGACCTTAACAGGGAGCCATGGTGAGTAAGGTATAAGGGGGGGCCTAAGGGAGTGGCTAAGGCTGCTGCTAAGCTATTCATTTTCTAACCTGATGTTCATTCAGGTGCGATACATTTAGGTGTCTAATCCAACCTCTATAATCTAATGAAAACACTTTCCTTTTTATTCATATGGACAGCATATAGTTACACAGCATTTAATTTTCAACCGACGTGTGTCTAGAAAAGAGTCAGTCGACTTATATTTTATACATAACATCAGTGACATTAAAACCCTAGGAAATACTAATGATTGGTAGGTCATTTCAAAATTTTGTTGCCTTGTTATCTAAATACTTGAAGATAATCTGAAACAGAATTAAAGACCCATATCTTTGTATTGTGAACTGAGCCATGTCCCCTCTCATAGTTCTGTTGGTTGGGAATGGTCAGTCTGTGGCTATTACAAAAAAATGTTGCTTCTTAGTATCCCAGAACTCTTAAATCCTATATAAGTACATGGGAACATTTTTGTTCCTTTCATAATAAAAATGAACAGAAGAAAATTAATTTTTTTTCTTTAAACTCTTTAAAAGGTGAAGTATCAGCCTCAAAAGATGTACTTGCTAACTTTCCTTTTTTTTTTTTTTTTTTTTCTTTTTTTTTTGTGTGTGTGTGTTTCTTTTTTCTTTCTCTGTTTTCTTACATGGTTCTGGTTGGATTCACATTTGCTGATGCTGATGCTGTTTTTCGTGTGACCTTCAACGCATTTGGGTGACCACTGACCCTGTGACTTCAAAATGGCGTCCAACTAACTTAAAATTAACATCTTTTTTTTTTTTTAATTAACGAATTTATGGTATTATCTTTTTTCTTGGCGGGGAATGGGGTTTGGGTTGTTTTTCTCTATTCTAGATTATCCAGTCAAGAAGATGAAAACTACAGAGAAGGGATTTGGCTTGGTGGCTTATGCTGCAGATTCATCTGACGAAGAGGAGGAACATGGAGGTCATAAAAATGCAAGTAGTTTTCCACAGGGCTGGAGTTTGGGATATCAGTACCCTTCATCACAGCCGCGAGCTAAACAACAGATGCCGTTCTGGATGGCCCCGTAGGAAACAGCACAACAGACTTTTTGACCCTCGGTGACTTCTTTAGCAATAATGCATGCATTTGATTTAACAAGACTTTGGCCTGTACTGGGAACCATCGTGGACCTTTGCAGAAGTTAGAGGTGCAGTGTCTCCTTAGAAGAGTTTCATTCTTTTTAAAAGACCCTCTTTTCTTCAGTGGCATAGCATCTGTTAAAATTTACATGGGATCACAAATGCGTCTCAGAAGCTTTTTTTATTTAACACTCAGTGAAATGTGCTGTGCAACACAGCATCCCATTGGGGTCATTCCTGTACACATTTGACCTGGTCTGGCCTTTCCAAATGAATTACCCCTCTTCTGATGTAGACCGTTTTATTTGTATTTTACAGCTGTTTGGTCAATTTTGATAATAACTTGTTACCAACCAAGCCTTACTATTTATTAGTAGGGAAATGATTTTAAGACCATCTTTTCCTTTCAGTACTAAATCCACAAATTCCCCACCCCTATCCCATTTTTGGGTTCTTTCTGTTTTGGCAAGTGCAGTTTTACTAGTTTAAAATTGTCAGGTAGAGCTGGATTCTGGGTTTAAAAAAAAAAAAAAGTTTTTTTTTTTTATTGTGTCTTTTTTGGGGAATGATCCAAAGCTGGCACCTCCAGGCACCCTTGTCTCAGATAGCCATTGCTGTTTTTATTGCTCTTCTAAGCTCTTGTCTTCAACTGGGTCAGAAAACTACTTGATCAAAAGCTGGCCAGAATTCATCACAGAAATGAAACACAGTGGTCTGTCTCTCTCAGAACTGTTGCAGCTAAAATAGAGAGACTTGACTGCTCCCAATAGGATGGTGGACTTAGTGACTGAAATTGCAACTTGTCCTTTTTCTTGGCATTACAGGTTTTACCAAAAGAACTTTTTTGTATCAAATATTGATGTGTGAAAGTGAAGGAGCTAGTCTGCTGACTCAGTAGTTTGAGATACTGAACTGTCATTTTTGCACATTTGAATACTTTGCAGGCTGGCTTTGTATAAATGTATCCTCTGGTTTCCTATATGTTGTAAATACTTAGACCATAATGTCATTATAAATAAATGTATAAATATTCTGCTTGTGGTATCTCCATTCTTAATTAAAATTCATAAACTGATTTACTCATAGCACAATGACTTTCTAACCTCTCCAGAAAAACACATACATGGACCTCAACGTTTGCATACAGTTCAGAGTTTTGACTTCCCAAAGTAAACCATTAGAAGTTCAGATGAAAAGTGTCAATGTTTTAACACTAATGGTTAAAGGGCTGCATGAATGAAACACTTTTAACAGAAATGCAAATTATTGGAAAAACATACTCAAAGTAGGATGGGCAGAAGTTTCAACAGATTTCCTGATGTCAAATTCCTTCAAGTAACCTATATCTAAACAGGAATATAATAATAATAATAATTTTGTTTCCATATTTAATTCAAGGCCACCTGAAAATTCTAATTTTAATGTTGGAGGGTAGTTTGTTTTCAACAAAACAAAAATTATCTTAATAGGTTTCATTTATATATGTTTAAAATATAGAATGTTTTAGAAAACAGAATATTGTCCAGATACACTAAGGTTATGTGTTCAATCTAGTCAGGGCACATACAAGAATCAGCCAATGGCCGAAACTGGTTTGGCTCAGTGGATAGAGCGTCGGGCTGCGGACTGAAGAGTCCCAGGTTCGATTCCGGTCAAGGGTATGTACTGTGGTTGCAGGCCCATCCCCAGTGGGGGGTGTGCAGGAGACAGCTGATCGATATATCTCTCATCGATGTTTCTGGCTCTGTCCCTCTCTTCCTCTCTGTGAAAAGTCAATAAAATATATTAAAAAAAAAAAAAAAGATTCAGCCAACGAATGCATAGATTAGGTAAGTGAAGCAGTAAATCCATGTTTCTCTATGTCCCTTCCTGTGTAAAAATAAAATATGGAACTCCAGTTACCTAGAACAGTGATTTTCAACTGTGTGCTGCAAGAATTTTTAAAATGTGCAATACCTGACTTGTCAGGGGTACTGACCTCTTTTGCCTTCGATTGTCAAAATGACAGCCAACACAACAGCTATCTGGTGTGAATGAAAAATTAATACCTATTTTGTCAGAACATTTTTGGTGTGCCACAGAATATTAGTAATTTATGTGTACCATGAGATGAAAAAGGTTGAAAATTGATAAACTGGAACATCTGGTCTATGAGACTTGATCCACTATTTTCAAAAGCCCAAGTCAGCTATTCTTTGGGGGAAATTTGCTTTTTCTGTTCTTGAAAAGTAAACGATCTGCTTTGGGGGAGGATTTGGTGGGTATCCATTTCCTGTTAACTTACATTTGGCCGAATTAATTTATCACGAGCAGTGGACAACCTTGAGTAATTCTTATCACATCCTCTATTTTTTTCTTTCTGTAATACATTTTGATTGATTTTAGAGAGAAACATCTATGAGAACCATCATGCCCCCTACTGAGGATCGAGCCACCACCCTCCATCTTTTTTTTTCTTCTTTTTTTTTTAGTTTATTGATTTTTGACAGAGAGGAAGGGAGAGGGATAGAGCATTAGAAACGTCTATGGGAGAGAAACACAGATTAAGTGCCTCCTGCACATCCCCTACTGGGGATGTGCCCACAACCAAGGCACAAGCCCTTAACCCGAATCGAACCTGGGACCTTTCAGGCGATCTCTATCCGCCGAGCCATACGGGCTTCGGCCACCTCCTTTTGGATTTTGTGTGAAGAGTTAACACATCTGTGTGTGCCCGCTCCTGGGTCCTCCCCCGGCCTCGGCCTCGGCGGCGGCGGCGGCAGGAACTGGGTGAGAGGACCGGCCGCGGGGGCGGGCCCGCCGACGTCAGCGCGGCCCTCCGGGTGGCGCCATCTTCCCGGCCGCGGGAGGGGTCACGGTCAGTGCCGGGCGCCGCGGCGAGCGCAGGACGGAGGGCCGAGCTCCCGTGGCGGTCCTCGCCCACGGGAAGGTACGAGCGGCCGGTTCCTGGGGGGACCTGCCGGCGGCGGGGCGCCCCCGCGGGAGGGACGGGGCGGGAGGCGGCGGCGGCGCGGACCCCGGTGGCCTGAGCGGCTCGGAGCCTCTGGTCCCCGAACCTCGACGTTGGCGCTCCTCCTCCCTGCCGTGCGGGTCCCCGGCTGAAGACGGCTGGTTCCTTTGTGTCTTGTCTTTGGGGGCTGCCTGTCCCGCCGGGAACGTGAGGGGGGGAGGGTCCCAGGCCCCGGAGCACCCCGCAGGGCGCGGGCTGAGGGCCGGCCCGGGCGGTGGGAGCCGGGCACCTCCCGGGAGCTGCCGCCCCGAGGTCACCATCCGGGGTCTCCCGAGGCCGCCATCCGGGGTCTCCCGGGGCCGCCATCGGGGTGAAGCGTCTTCCTCTTCCAGCCCCGCGCTTGGCTCGGGGTCAGCGGCGCCGAGGACGGAGGGTCGCGGTTCGACACCCGTCCAGGGCACCGGTGGCCGTGTCTCTCACACGGAAGTTTCCGCCCCTCCCCTCGCGTCCCCTCCCTAACATCACTGGGAAGAACCCGGCCGCGGACACACGGACACCCCTCCCTCCCCTCTGTCTGTAGGTGCCCTTCCCGGGCAGCCGGGGAGACCATGGAGCCCGGAGCGCGCCCCGCGGGCAGCCCCGCCGCGCTCTCCCGCGAGTACAAGCTGGTGATGCTGGGGGCCGGCGGCGTGGGCAAGAGCGGTAGGTGACCGTCCCTCCCGCCTGAGGAGCACAGGGTGGGTTTCCGAAAACAAATGGCCTCCCTCAGACCCGGTGGAGACCGGCTGTCATGCAGGCGACAGAGTTCTCGCTGTGGGCCCGCCACCTTGGTGTGAGCTTAACTTCCGTTTCTTGTTTTGAAGCCATGACCATGCAGTTCATCAGCCACCGGTTCCCAGAAGATCACGACCCCACCATCGGTAAGTCAGATGGTCACGTGTGGGTCTAAACCCGACAGAAGGTCTTGGTGTCATTTTTAAAAATATATATATATTTTGCCGAAACCGGTTTGGCTCAGCGGTAGAGCGTCGGTCTGTGGACTGAAAGGTCCCGGGTTCGATTCCGGTCAGGGGCATGTACGTTGGTTGCGGGCACATCCCTGATAGGGGATGCGCAAGAGGCAGCTGGTCGATGTTTCTCTCTCATCGACGTTTCTAGCTCTCTATCTCTCTCCCTTCCTCTCTGTAAAAAATCAATAAAATATATTTTTAAAAATTATATATATATATATATATATATATATATATATATATATATATATATATATATTATTGATCAGCTGCCTCCTGCAAACCCCCTGCTGGGGATGTGCCCGCAACCCAGGTACATGCCCTTGACCAGAACCGAACTTGGGGTCCTTGGGATCCTTCAGTCTGCAGGCCGATGCTCTATCCATTGAGCCAAACCGGTTAGGGCATTGGTGTCAATTTTTAAAAACAGTTTTTAACTACATTTTGAGCCTCTTTTGGTGTCTAATTCAGATTTATTTAGTAAGAGTATCAGAGCAGTGGGTAAGCAAATGAATTTTCCTTTTCCTCACTTTACTCTATTTGGAATAAGCCATGATTAGGCTCTGTCTTTTATTGGGACACCTTCTTTGTCTCATTTTTATGGTTGTACTGTATTGCTAGGTTCAAGGAAAAGTTTAAAGGCCACTTAACAGAAACCTTTTGCTGTCGGTTCTCTAAGGGTCTGACTTGAGACTGACTCTCTAGCTATGAGTCAACTGGTTTGAACTTCCACAAAAGGAAGCAGAAAAACAAGTAGAGCCAGCCTGCTGAACTCTTACAGTCCAGCTCTCCAGAGCCTGGACGTCCACTCACAAGCTCGTCATTTACTTCCTTGTAGCTCAAGTTCACTATACAATAAAGTCTGCCTTCATGTCTTTTGTAATCCTTAATGCTCTTTTGTTGGCAAAATTCTATTAGAATAAAAAGTAACTTTATTTTACCTTAAAAAAAATTGCCTTTCTCTACAAAGACTAGGAATATTGTTATTCATGAACCATAAGGAAACAGATTTGAACTAAGGGTTGTATCTCAGGATAAAAGGGGTAAGCAGGGGAGAGCACAGATCTGCTATCCTGCTGGTATTTTCAGGATGTGACACTTAGTCATGGACCTCTGCTGCTCTGTTTTCCACAAAGTCTGTGCTCACCCAGCTTTGGATGTGGTCATTTCATAGCGAGATAACTGTTGTGGATGAGATGGAAACAGTGCTTGCTTTTTTCATGGACTGTATTAGAGTTAGAACATTGTTCAGAGATTCAAACACGGGGGGAAATTCTAGGAATAAAACCGAGTTAGGGTTTAGGATAATTAGAATTAAAAAAAAAAAATCCCCCCCATTGATTGTTGTTTTTTTCAATCAGAGACTTTCTTGACAATATTAACTGATTGACCAGTATATACCATGTCACTTGAGTTCCTGTCATGTCCCAGCAGTGTGGTAGGCCGTGGGAGTAGAGAGGTGTCTGTTCCCAGTGAGTTTATAATGTAGTACATTTTGTTTTCAACTGTGGCTGCTAGTAACGAGTACACATATTAAATATGTATGTGTGTACCCATATGCACCTGTAAATACACAAAACTGTATTTACCTCATTATATGTGGCACAGTCTGGTATTTTCTCTTTTATTTAAGGTTTTTGCTTGTTTATTTTAATGCTATTTTAATGAATTTAATGTCCCAACTCATTAAATTCATTCACAATTCACTAATCGTAATGGATTGTGTCCTGTAGTTTGAGAAACATTGATTTAGTTGGCTCTTCACTTTTGAGGAAGAATCAGAAGCAGGGGTTCAAGAAAAAAATTTTGATAAGAAAATACATCAGGCCGAAACCAGTTTGGCTCAATGGATATAGAGCATCGGCCTGCGGACTGAAAGATCCCAGGTTCGATTCTGGTCAAGGGCATGTACCGTGGTTGCGGGCACATCCCCAGTAGGGGGTGTGCAAGAGGCAGCTGATCAATGTTGCTCTCTCATCGATGTTTCTAACTCTCTATCTCTCTCCCTTCCTCTCTGTAAAAAATCAATAAAACATATTAAAAAAAGAAAATACATCAGGATGTAAGAAGCAGTTGTTTGAATGGTGAACATATTAAATTTTTTTTCTCTTTTTTAAAATTTCCTGTATTTTCCAAGGGTTACTGCAATAATATGCATAAAGAAATTTACTTCGCCCTAGCAGGTTTGACTGAGTAGGTAGAGTGGACAGAAGAGTCCCAGGTTTGATTCCAGTCAAGGGCATGCACCTTGGTTGTGGGCACATCCCCAGTAGGGGGTGTGTAGGAGGCAGCTGATCAATGTTGCTCTCTCATTGATGTTTCTAACTCTCTATTCCTCTCCCTTCCTCTCTGTAAAAAAAAAAATCAATAAAATATATTTTAAAAAATTATTTAAAAAAAGAAAGAAATTTGCTTCCATAAAGGAGAAATTAATGACACTGGATTATTTAGACTTTTTTCTCTTTTCTATAGTATTAAAATGAGGAGGAACTATAGTATATAGCTTTTGAATCAAGACATCCCTGGGTTTTAATTCTGGCTATGTCATTAATTAATGTATAATGTAGGGAGATTTAATTTTTGAGTTTAACTTTTTAAATCTGTAAAATGGAGATAATAATACCTCATTGGATTATTATGGAATGAGTTAATGTATATAAATTACTTAATGTTATGCCTGCAAGTTACTTTTTTGGCCTAATATTTTTTTTAAATGATCTCAGAATCCTTTTTAACTTAGAATTATAGGTGAGATCTTGTAAATCTAAGCTATGAATAAACTTACATCACTGCGTAAGTGAAAAAATATATTTAGTTGAAGACCCACTTTACGAATCTCAATAGATTTAGCATACTGCCAAAGAAAATGTGGACACTTAAAGAACTTACATAATCTGCTTTCCATAAGATGAATTTTAAAGTAGGGTTGCATATTCCTGTGTCTATGGGGTCACAGTACACCTTTCTTCCTTTCTATAGAAGATGCTTATAAAATCCGGATCCGGATTGATGATGAGCCTGCCAATCTGGATATTTTGGATACGGCTGGACAGGTATCTAATCCCAGAATGCTCTGAATAAGACATTTTCACTCTAGAAAGGAGGGGGGAAGGCTTACGCAGAGAATATCACCAGTTCATGTCTTTTAATTTTTCATGCACTCTGACTCAGGATAGCAGGTAATTGATATATCTCTTCCTTAATCTGAAATAAATAGATAATATATACGTAGTTCTAGGTTGCATCACTACATTACTGACCCTTGTTTCCCTCTAGGCAGAGTTTACAGCCATGCGAGATCAGTACATGAGGGCAGGAGAAGGGTTTATCATCTGTTACTCTATCACCGATCGTCGAAGTTTTCATGAAGTGCGGGAATTTAAACAGCTTATTTATCGAGTTCGACGTACTGATGACACACCTGTGGTTCTTGTAGGAAACAAGTCTGATCTAAAGCAGCTAAGACAGGTGAGGATGGAGTTGAAAATGCTACCTGTAACCTAATGGGATTAGTCGTTTCTGTTTATAGATTCCTCTGTCTAAAAGTAAAAATTAAAAATTAGCTTCTGCCTAACCTTGAAAATTTCCTGGTATATACTAATTTTCTATCATTTGGGATCAAAATCTGGATTTCAGGAATTAGTTTATAAGACAAAATCCACAGGACAATAATCAGATGGCATAGAATAGGTAGTAAATGAAGGATCATGGAATATTCAATTCTTAAAACTTCAGAAATGTTGCATCTAGAGAAACTGAAATTAGACTTGAAGATACACTTCCTGATGATGAGGATTATGAGCCCTGGAAGAAGAGAATAAGAAACTGTATGGGATTTTAGAATAAGCCATACATTTCAAGTTAGCAATGATGTTTGACATGTCGCTGTTCCGTGTAGTTTCTGAAGGTGTAGTGAAATGGGCACATATATGGCTACTACTGGAAACAATGAATGGTACAAATTGTTGGAAGTAGTTTGACTTTGAAAAATTTATTTAGAGATTTTATATGTAAAATGTTTATTGCCAGGCTCTTTATGGTAACAAAAAATTAGAAAAAGCCTAAATACCCAAAAGTAGGAGAAATTATGGTATATCCATAATTGAATAATCAATTTTGGGTTCCTTACAGTTTTCAGTATTGTAGTTTAAATACGCATCTGTTTGCCTCGTGTTTTACTTTTTAAAAAATATATATATTTTGCCAAAACCGGTTTGGCTCAGTGGATAGAGCGTCGGCCTGCGGACTGAAGGGTCCCGGGTTCGATTCCAGTCAAGGGCATGTACTTTGGTTGCGAGCACATCCCCAGTAGAGGGTGTGCAAGAGATTCTCTCTCATTGATGTTTCTAACTCTCTATCCCTCTCTCTAAAAAATCAATAAAATATATATAATTTATTTTTATTATATATATTTAGAAATATATTTATTATATATAGTTAAAAACATCAATGAGACAGAAACATCGATCAGCCGCCTCCTACATACCTCCTAATGGGGATGTGCCCGCAACCAAGGTACATGCCCTTGACCGGAATCGAACCTGGGACCCTTCAGTCCGCAGGCCGACGCTCTATCCACTGAGCCAAACTGGTTAGGGCGTGTTTTACTTTTTTTAAATGAAAAGTATGAAGAAAATGCATATTGCACTTTTGATATCTATAACTGTTCCCTATTGCAAAGAGTTATCTTTAAAATAGAGTAGAAGGCCGTAACCGGTTGTGGACACATCCCCAGTGTGGGGTGTGCAGGAGGCAGTGATCGATGTTTCTCTCATCCATGTTTCTAATTCTCTGTCCTCCCTTTCTCTCTGTAAAAAATCAATAAAATATATTTAAAAATAAATAAAATAGAGTAGTCATAAATTCACCTAACTTGAAGGCCGAAGGAATCAGAACACATGTAATTTAGCCTCCCAACATTACAAAAATCACTGTACTCTGCTTGAATACCTCCAGAGTTGAGGAGTAGTTGTCATTGTTTCCTACTTGTATCACTACAAATTTTCTCTGTTTACATTTTTAAAGGTCACTAAAGAAGAAGGATCGGCTCTGGCCCGAGAATTCAGCTGTCCCTTCTTTGAGACATCTGCTGCATACCGATACTACATTGACGATGTATTCCACGCCCTTGTCCGGGAGATACGTAGGAAAGAAAAGGAGGCCGTACTGGCCATGGAGAAAAAATCTAAACCCAAAAACAGTGTATGGAAGAGGCTAAAATCACCATTCCGGAAGAAGAAGGATTCAGTAACTTGAAGTTGTAAAATGTTTACGTGTGAACTGCAGTGCTTAATCAAAGCAGTCCAGTAACCGGCATTAGTGAGCATGGTGCTTGCTCTCTCTCCTGTTATGACCGTTATTTTTAAAGTAACTGATGAAGGGGACATGCCTACTAGGAGTTTTCAATGATGTGGTATTTAATATATTGTCTCTTAGCTAATTCTGATTTATTAACCCAGTGGAGCACTTTCTGCTTTTAAATTGTCACATTAGAATTTGATCTACCATAGTTTTGGGTTCTGTTGCTGATTAATTAATTAATGTAAATTGTTTAGATCCAGGGGAATATATATATATATATACCAAGTGTATTTGACTAAGCTCATAAGAGGAATTTTTTGCCATGCACTATTCCACATTATCTTCTCAGTTTCCTGGGACTGTCCCAGAGAAGGACCTCTGTCTTTTCTATTCACACTGTGCTTCCTGGAAACAACAAAAACCAGATAGGGAAACCAGTGCTGAAGAGACAGGTGCTGAAGTTCAGCAAGTAGCTGGAGAACTGACTCCTGTTACAGGTTGTAGAGTGATGAGATTTGGGGAAGTAGGCCATGTATTTACAGGAACTTGGCTAGAAAAACAGTCGGTCAGACAGTGTTCCTAGTACGCACCTGGCTTTTCTAAGAAATGAAGTAGGATGGTTGAGAACAAACAAGCATATAAAATACAATGAAGGGTTCTCCTATGAGGTTATTTTACTCTTTCTTTCAGGGTTTTCTTTACCTTCAAAGGTAAACACTTAGGGAACCATTACTGGATTCCACACTCATTTAATTTAAAGCCTTAGTTGGGATAGCCATTGCCTCGTAGGGGTTTCTTTTCCCCCCAGAAATGCACTTATCAATACATTTACAGTAATTGTTCCCTAGTGCTTCCCCTTAGCATCCCTGTGCTCACTCGCACGTGCGCGAGCTCTCTCTCTTTCTCTTTCTCTCTCTCTCTTTTTTTTCTTGTGGCACATTTATTTATCTTAAAAGCTGTATTTTATGTTACTGTTTTCCTGAAACACACAGTGTGATAGATGTGGCTACATACAGTGTCTTTAGAAATAAAAGGATAGCATAGGAAAAAATGGGTTACTCGGTTCTCATTTGTTAGCATTTGGTGAACATCTAGGGCCTAGAGAGCAATGACCAAGGGCATTTTATTTAGAATGTCAGCCTTGTTTTATGTGTGAAGTGGTAGTATTCCTGAGTACCCGGACCAGATTGTAAGTGCACCAAGGAGATCTGTGGTCAAAATCAACGGTCTTCAAACTTTGTTGTTGTTTTGTTACTTAGATTCCACATATGAGTGCGATCGTGTGATACGTGTCTTTCTCTGACTGACTTATTTCACTTAGCATGATATTCTCCAAGTCCCTCCATGCTATCTCAAAGGATAAGAGATTCTTTTTTATTGCTGCATGGTATTCCATGGTATAAATATACCACAGCTTTTTTATTCACTCATCTACTGATGGGCACTTAGGCTGTTTCCAGATCTTAGCTATTGTAGATTGAACATAGGGATGCATACATTCTTTCTGATTGGTGCTTTGGGTTTCTTAGGATGTATTCCTAGAAGTGTGATCACTGTGTTAAATGGCAGTTCCATATTTAATTTTTTGAGGAATGGTTATACCAGTCTGCATTCCCACCAGCAGTGAATGAGGGTTCCCTTTTCTCTACATCCTCACCAGCACTTGTCATTTGTTGATTTGATGATAGCCATTCTGACAGGCGTAAAATGGTACCTCATTGTCATTTTGATTTGCATCTTTCAGATGATAGTGACTTTGAGCATTTTTTTATATGTCTCTTGGCCACCTGTATGTCCTCTTTGGAGAAGTGTCTATTTAGATTCTTTGCCCATTTTTTAATTGGATTGCTTGTCTTTCTTTGCTAAGTTGTATGAGTTACTTTTATATTTTGGATATTAACCCTTTATCAGATATACCATTGCCAAATATGTTCTCCCATGCTGTGGGCTCTCTTTTCATTTTGTTGATGGTTTCTCTTGCTGTGCAGAAGCTTTTTATTTGTATGTAGTCCCATTTGTTTATTTTTTCCTTAGTTTCCTTTGCCTTAGGAGATGTATCTATAAACCTATTGCCACGAGAAACGCCTGAAAATTTGTTGCCTGTGGTTTTTTCTAGGATGTTTATGGTTTCATGACTTACATTTAAGTCCTTTACCCATTTTGAGCTTATTGTGTATGGTGTCAGTTGGTGGTCTATTTTCATTTTTTTGCATGTATCTGTCCAATTTTTCCAACACCATTTATTGAAGAGACTGTCTTGACTCTACTGTATGCTCTTGCCTCTTTTGTCAAATATTAATTGAATATACTGGCTTGGGTCAATTTCTGGAGTCTCTGTTCTGTTCCATTGATCTATATGCCTGTTCTTGTGCCAATACCAAGCTGTTTTGAATACAGTGGCTTTGTAGTGTAGCTTGAAATCTGCTATTGTGATTCCTCCAACTTTATTCTTCTTTCTCAAAATTGCTGCAGCTATTTGGGGTCTTTTTTTATTGTTTAATGTATTTTGGGGTCTTTTTTGATTCCATATAAATTTTTGGAGTATTTGTTCTAGCTCTGTGAAATATGCCATTGGTATTTTTTTTTTTTTTAATATATATTTTCTTGATTTTTCACAGAGAGGAAGAGAGAGGGATAGAGAGTTAGAAACATTGATGAGAGAGAATCATCTATCAGCTGCCTCTTGCACACCCCTTATTGGGGATGTGCCCACAACCAAGGTACATGCCCTTGACCGGAATCGAACCCAGGACCTTTCAGTCCGCAGGCCGATGCTCTATCCACTGAGCCAAACCGGTTTCGGCTGCCGTTGGTATTTTAATAGGGGTTGCATTGAATCTGTAGATTACTTTGGGTATTTCCTGTGCTCTTTAGAAGAGGTAGGCCTGGCAAAATATTGTTAGGCCCTTTGTCAGACTGACTGCATTTTCCATACAGAGAAGAGACCTCAGGAGTTTTGAATAAAATTATGTATGTGCCTCCTTGATACTGACAATCACTAGACTTGGTGCTCTGAGAAAGCCTGTGGTATTGATGTTTAACGAGCCAGTCTTGAAGCTTTAAAATTCCCATACGTTGAGTTTCTTAGTGAAGATTTCTTTACAAGGACTTCGCAGAATTCACCTCACAGTTTCTGAGCCTTGACAAAGCTTAGCTTAAGAGAATACCACTGTGATAATTTCTTGTCCTGGGAAGAAACAGCTTTAAATATTGATGGAATTCTCTCTTAGAATCAGGATTGTTTTGATATCTGAACTGGTTATGTGTGAAGATTAAGTGCATAAATGCTGAGTAATGTGGCATATGTTGAACATTACACATCACTGAAGCAGTGTTCTTGACCATTTCAAACTCTAAGAACAGGACTCTGTGCGTAGTGCCTCTTAAAAAGCACATAGCTCAACTTACTGTGTCCTTATTTACAGGCAGAAGGACAGGGTTGTATTTTTCCTTATAATCAATGCTCTATGTTCCAAGTTTAAAGAAAAATAATAGTTGTAAATTTTCTAGCTGAGTAATGGTTCTTTTTTAAACCCCTGGAAATGTTTTTGCTACCAAATAAGTTATGTCTTATGGTACTCAAGCCATTTAAAAGTAAAAGACCCAGAATTCAAATTACGCAGGACAATCTTACAGGAACCATTGACTGGTTCATGGAGAGGCATGAAGGTAGAAAATAAACGTAGTACCATTCTATTTTAACAGTATTTCACTATATTTAAACTAGCCTAGAGCCTTTTAAGTTTAATGCCTTAGCTCTCATTACTATGATTAGAGCAATGTTATGAGCATCAACCAAGAAGTTGACAGCTAGCTATATAATTATTTGGGATAGACAAGGTAGCAGAGATATTGCCATATTGCCAGAAAGAAAAATATGTAATACAGGAGGGAATTTGAGTTGTGTATAAGAAAAATAACAAATCAGTGTTTTTAAGACTATCACTGCCAGGGCTTTCCCCTTCAGGAGCATGCCCACACCTTTCTCCCCTCGCAGGTGTGCATCTTGTAAACTCTAACGATTCCCATGAGACTTGCAACCAGGGGAGCAATGGGCAGCCGCAGCTCATCCTGGACTAACCCCCAAACCTGTCTCCGAGGCCCCCTTTTCTCTGACTTCAGTAGGTCAACAGCAGCTCCTTTTTGGCTCACTTCAGTCTTCGGTCACTGTGACTTTTACTTTCCAGCGAGAAAAGGCAGCAGCTGGCCTAGGCTTTTACCCTACACCCTTTTTTGTTTCACTGTCCCCAGCTTTAACAAATGTCCTCTCAAAATAAAAATCAAAAAAGACTATCACTGTTATATATTTGATTGTTGGATTAATTAGCCCATCAATTAGTATTGAGAATTCTCTTCATGGTGCTAGTTTGAGGGATATATATATAGTGCATATAATTTATAAGCTCTAAGTAGTCAGCTTTATCCAATTTCAGGGCATTAAAATCAATTACTGCCTGGAACTTCGAAGAGAGAAAAATTCAGGGACAAGTTGAAAAGCACTGGAACTATTCGTGCCCTACTAGATTGGTAAGTTACAAAATTTAGAAGCTCGTATCTAGAATTAACTGTATACTTCAGAAAGGGAAATATGCTTTAACTTCATGATATAATAGCAAGAATTGGTCTGTGATGTTTGGGGAGGCGAAGGAAGAGATATTTTTCACTTACGCTCTTGTATATGGAGACTGTTTGACACAATGCAAAACCTGTAAACTTGCTGGGCTTTTACTTACCCACGTATGGGTAGAAATGTTTGGAATCATTGCAATGTGTCCTTTTAAGAAAAGTTTAATGCCATGAGATTTTACATTCTGGAAAGCATTGATTACAATCAATTTTAGTGCTCACCATGCACAGAACACCTTGACAAAGTGCTAGGGAGCATGCCAGGGAGTGCTCCTTCAGTCACATTACCTCTTGAGTGGGGAGAAAGGAAACACATAGAAAATGATAGC